CTTCTTGCTTGTTACCTACATATATACATAGGGAGGGTGAGCTTGGATACTCAGTGAATGATATAAGTAATAAAGGGGTAAATGAATGATTTCCAAGGTCCTTGTCAAAACAATACATATATCATAGCTTGTTAGTTTCTTGTATGCAAGCTATACTAACTCTCCTCCTAATCATAACATCTACTAATTCCATCGTCCTACCAGTTAAGGTTCCTATGTTCCAAGTGGCTATCCTAAACCTATAGTCTTGGACTAGCTTCTTTACCCGCGCTCGTCCAGAAAAACGCGGAAACCTTTGCCCATTTTTCACCGCACCCAGGCGTCGATGCGGCGCCCCTTGCTCACTTTTCGAAACACCCGGAGGCAGGCGCAACGCGTCACTTGAGGGGAACGACCTAGCATTTAAACGATTCAAAGTAGGATTCATTTTCAAGGCGCAACGCGTCACTTGAGTGGCTATCCGCTCCTTTTCTTATCAGGGAACAAAAACAATTGAAGGCCTAATCCTCGACTTGCCAGAACTGAAGGAAGATATGCGAACCAAGCATGCAAATAATGCACAACACCATTTAGAAGATTTTTCTGGGAAATCGACAATGATTTTTGAAGGCAGTTCATCGAAGCGACGTCGCCTAGGCTTCTTGTCTTGGCTTCCCATAAATTCTTCCTTAATGGAGTCAGATGAAGCAGTTTTAGAAACTGATGCGTTTTCACCGATGCTCAAATTACGAATACTCCAGCTTTATGATGTACCACTCAGCGGAGGCTATGATGAATTTCCCAAGACGTTAAGATGGCTGTGTTGGCATGGATTCCCTTTAACATTTATACCTAATGATTTTTCTCTAGAGAACATGGTTGTTCTGGACTTGCCCCATAGCAGCTTGCGACAATTTTGGAAGGGAGCCAAGGTTTGATTAGTTTTTCTTTTCTTTTATCCTACTTCCCTTTTTTAAAAAAAAAAAAGAACTTTATTTTGGGATTATGTTGACTACTGTCTAATAATAGGGCATACTAATATACCCGTTTTTTTATGGCAGTTGCTCAAACTACTGAAGATCCTCAATCTCTCTCGTTCCTATGACCTTACCAGTTCACCTGACTTTTCAAAGCTCCCTAATCTTGAGAGGTTGATTCTTAAAGATTGTATCAATTTGGTTGAGGTCCATGAATCCATTGTGGAACTAGGGAGACTAGTATTGTTGAATCTAAAAGGCTGCAAAAATCTTAGGAAAATTCCAAGGAAAATTTGTCAGCTTAATACCCTTGAAAAACTCAATCTTTCGGGTTGCTCGAAGCTTGATGAGTTGCCTACAGATTTGTGCAAGATGGAGTCTTTGAGAGAGTTTGAAGCAGATGGAGTAAATCTGCTATCCTCAACCACAGGAAAGATTAAATCATGGCATGGAGTAATCAAGTCTTTGGTGTCAAAACCTACTAAAAGCCTAGAATTTTCACTGGCTTCTTTACCAAGCTTTTTAGTATGGCTAAGCCTTGCAGATTGCAGTATATCCGATGATTCATTTCCCAGGGATATAAGTAGCATGCCCTTGTTGCAGGCATTAAGACTTAGCAACAATCCAATTAGTAGCCTACCGGCGAGCATAAGAAATCTTAGTGTGCTCAAACAACTTGATTTAGAGCGCTGCACAAGGCTCCGCACACTACCAGAGCTTCCGATGACTTTACAAGCATTGTCAATATATGGATGCAAATCGCTGCAAATGGCAACAAATCTACCAAACCTGTTGAATTCACTAATGCTGAGCTCATATGGCTGTGTAAAACTAGTTCATGTTCAGGAATTGTTCAAGTTGGAACCCATTGGAAATTTTTATTCAGAAATGATACAGAGTTTGGGCTTGGCTCAGTTGGAATCTATGGGAAGTTTTGAGGTGGAACTGTTCAATAACCTAACGCTTACAAAAACAAAAACTCCAGTACTCCAGGTGTTCTCTCTCTCTCTCTTATGTGTCATTAATATAGCTAGCAGCGGAGCCACCATGAGACCAAGAGGGCACGTACCCCCACAACTTTTAAAAAAATATTTTTTAATATAATGTTTAATGTTGTCAATTTTCTCCCTTTAAAATTATATAGATGCTCTAAATGTTTCTCTTTCTTCTCCCAAGAAACTTGACACACCATTAACTAGAAGAGGGACAGATTGACTCTTTGTTTGTTTCACAATTAAATCTAAGAAAGCGTTTTGTTTTATCATGTGTAGTTTATTTCATTTTTGATTGTTTGAGTTCTATAGATTTGAATGTTACAATGATCTCATTGTAGTGATGTGTGATATTGAATAGCTTTAAAATAATTTTTTATTTTTTATTTTGTTTTTTACCAAACTAAAGCAAATTAAGCCTTTTTTGTCAAACTGATTTGGCCCAACAATTTGCCTTAACTGTAAATAACTGTGAATTCTATTAAACAAAGGCTATGAATGTTCTCTCATATTTGTGTCACTAATTTAACTCTGGATTTTATTAAACAGGGACTCTCTGAATGTTCTCTCATATGTGTTTCATTATCATTAATATAATTTTGAATTTTATCAAACAGGGACTCTATGAATGTGGCATATATAGCATATTTCTTCCCAGGAATGAAGTTCCAGGTTGGTTCAGCATTAAGAATACGGGGTCCTCGATATCTTTTAATGTGCCTTCACCTCCTAGTGTTAAGGTCCGGGGCCTGAACGTGTGCGTTTCCTATGCACTTAACTCGGATTATAAGAAGTCAAAGTGGATGTATGAATGTATTAGAGTCAATAACAAGACCAAGGGTTTGAAATGGACCTATCGGCCAGCGTTCACAGGCATAGCAGACGAAGGCAAAGATATGATATGGTTAAGTGACTGGAAGATTGTGGATCAACTAATGAACGGTGGTGATGAAGTGACTATCTCAGTGAACATGGAAGAACAATATCAGTTGAAGGAGTTTGGAATTCGGATTGTGTACGATGAACAAGAAGAGAAAGTTACCGCGCACAACACAACCTATCCTTGTCCGCAGAATGCCATTGATTTGTCAGCATACGAGATGAGTGCAGGTGAGTACTTCCTATGCAACCATGATGAATAAACTAGGACTGACTACTACTCAAGAATAGATGGGTTGCCATCAGATTTTGTGGAAACATGTTGGTGTGGCTTCCAATGTGATATGCATATGAAGCAGTACTGACAAAGAGCACTCATTGGACACTTATATGTGTCAGGCACACATTCAAACATATTATATTATTTCTTTCATGCTTTGGATCTTTAGGAGAGGCATGTGTTCATCATTTAGCACATAATCACATTTGAATTTTAAAGAAAATAATTTAAGATCTAATAATAAAAGTTTTAAACAAAAAAAGGAGTAAATTTATCAGTTTGTTTGTGTCAGGTTGATTGTCAATGTTCTTGCTTCCATCAGCTTATTTCTTACAGACTGAAGGGATCCAATATTCTGTTTATTTTCTTATCTAAGTGAGGAAGCATACGGTAATTTTTCCCCTAGCCAGGTGTTCAAGTTCTACTTTTGATTCTTTTCTGCTCTGTTTTTTATTTTTATTTTTATTTTATTTTATTTAAATGTGTAACAAAATTCCTAATTAAAATTATCCATTAAGATGGGTCAGCTTCTCATTAAAAATATCCCATTTCTTAATGGAGCAAAAAAAAAATAAAAATAAAAAGGGATAAATTACTATGATATTTTTAGAAGCGTTATAATTTTGGTATAATTATATTAAATTTTCAAAATTTTAATTCAAGTAACATCTAACTTATTTTTCATTAATAATTTATTATTTATATGAATCGAAGAATGGTATTATCTTTTTTATATTGAAATGTATATATATTTTTTTATTTTTGTCTTTTCACATTATCTGCTTTAGCTCTGATACCTTTAGCGCGAGATAAATATAATTATGTTAAAATTATGAGACTAATTATATTTTCTTTGAAATACTCTGAATTTCAAAGAAGAGCAATATAGTTTAGCATATAAATAATGACATTTTTTAAAGCATATTGGACATATTTGGTTTGTCTCTCAAAACATGTTTTTGGAGAAAAAAATTCCAAAATCATTTTTTTCTATTGCACATCAATCAATCAATTTTTCTTTCTTTTTCTTCTCAATCACTTTTTCACTCACTTACCTATTAAATTACAAAAAAATATGGGCAAATTAAAATAAATAAATAAAAATTCAGGGTTTCGTGTGTTTTTTAATTTAAATATCAGGGTTTCAATTTTAACAATTAAAATCCTGATGTTACTTCTATGTCACAATTGACCCCCTTCGTCCATCTCCGTTTGATGAACTAACGAAGACCTCCATTTCAACAGTTGAATTTTTAGATTCAAACCCACATTCAAATCCTTATATCTTTTTTAGCGTAATTCTGTTTCACTTCACTTTTGCATCGTTAGATTCATTGTATGTCCTAATTTTCATTTCATCTCTGTTACGCCTTGTTCCACTTCTCTCTGGAAGTTGACAAAAAATAAGTTCTCTCTCTCTCTCTCTCTCTCTCTCTCTCTCTCTCTCTCTTTTTCTTGCTGCTATCGCATCATTAATTTTGGTAGTGTAGATGCAATGGATGATGCTTGATTGGAAACCAATGCACCCTAACATGCTCACCAACCCATTTGATTTTTGATTTTATGTGTAGTTGTATATACCTATCACTACTCAACAACACCGCCACCATTTCCACCACCAACTCATCTTGCAAATAATGATGATGAAGCAGTAGTAGCAATAGCAGCAAACCAGGAGGAGTCGCGGAGGAGGAGGAGGAGGAGGAAGAGTGGGGGAAAAAAAAAGAAAAGCATATTTTTTGCCAACTTTCGGAGATCCGACAACAATCATAAAGAGGTGAAACAAAGCATATGAGGGATAGAATAAAAGCTAGGCCATGAGTTGAATTTAACGATGTAAAAATGAGGTGAAATGGAGTTACGACGAGGGAGATATAAGTACCTGAATATGTGGATTTAAATCTGAAAATTTTGTCTGAAGAGAAAAAAATCTTATTTTTGACCAACTTTCGGACCGATGGCAAGTAAAAAGAAGTGGAACAAAGTGTTTGAAGAGTGGAAAGAAAACTAGGCCACGAGGAAAGTGCTACGACGCAAAAATGAGGTGAAACAGAGTTACGACAAAGGAGATACACGTGGTTGAATATGTGAGTTTGAATATAAAATTCTGCCTAGATTTTTGTTAGCTTAATATGACGAAGATGGACGGAGGGCCAAATTGAAATACGGATAAAACTCTATGGTTTAATTTGTCGAAATTGAAATTATGGGGTTCAAATTGAAAAACATACGAAACCCTGAGTTTTTTTTTTTTTTTTTTGTAATTAACCCAAAAATAAAAAGGGAATTTCAAATCAGTATAAGTTAAAAAATAATTACAAATTAGTGGTAAATTTTATCAATATTAATAATTAAAATGATAAAATTTTCATATATATATAATAATAATTTTTTGCAATTACCACTGACGTGTAATTTTCTCAAAAATAAATAAGTTATTTTATTTGACTAAATAAATACGTTTTTCATAAAAAAAAAAAAATTATTATTTTCAGAATCTAAAATAATTATGCGAAACATGATTTTACTCTCTGCATAATTAGTTATATTAACCAAGACGCTACAACACCGTAGTGGTAATAGGAAAATTTTACACACAAATTTTGAAAAGGCTCACATTTTTTTATTTTTATTTTTTTGTGTGTGTCCAAAACAACAAATTATTTTTTTAACAATTACCATATACGTAAACTTTTTTTTAATATTACAAACAAGCTAAAAAAATAAAAAATAAATAAAACTGAAAAAAGTAATTGTCAAACCCCAACTTATAAAAACGTGCAATTACTTGCAAAGCATGCGTATTGTTTAGAGAAAATTAGTGAAAATCCATCCCAAAAGAGATATAAGGTGTTACATTAAAGTTAAATTCTTGTTTAGTGATAAGAAAATGCCGAAAAATATGTAATTACTTGCAAAGTAGGTGTATTGTTTAGTGAAATTGGTGAAAGTCCATCCCAAAAGAGGTATAAGATATTACATTCAAGATAAAATCTTATCCGGTGATAAGAAAAAGCCGAAAAAGTCACCAGCACTAGAAAAGTAGTCAGAAAAATCTCCAACGACGGTGATAGGAGGCTGACGATAGTAGGTGGTGGTGGTAAGGTAGAGAAATGTGTGATATTCAACCTATAGATTATTGAATGAGTGATATGCGTCACATTTTAACAGATAATTAGTTTGATGAATTTTAACCGATAAATTGATTTTAACATATAATTGTTATTTTGAACAAATTATATCGTTTTGATCCAAAGAAACTAGAATTTGGCTCTAATAACCCACAAAATTTAAAAATAAATTTATGACCTGAATGTCTTATTGTTTAACCCCAAATATTTTTAAGCTTCATAAAAGTTAAATATGAGACCTTTTATAAAAAAAAAATAAATAAATAATAACCATAATGACATTGATAATAATATTGAACTTTTTAACTACACCTGTATTGGTTGTCCTAAAGGTTATTTGGAAAAGTTGATTTTTTAAATTTTTTTAAATTTTTTTTGGAAAAGTATGTTAAAAAATAAAAAGGTGATTTAATCTAAAAAAATTAAAAAATTAAAAAGATTAAAAAACTCGCTTTTAACTTACTTGCCGAAATACGCCTAAATCAATCCACAAGGGGATGAGGAGCGGCCCAACATGTCTCTTCATTCCAACTAGTAATAATTAATAGGTTGAAAAAACAAATCTTAATTCGTTGGATCAATTAATATTATTTTACTTCAGTCGATTTCGTATAATCAGTATAGCTCGATTGGTTTGTTTATCGTTCCGAAGTTCGGATAAAAAATTAATTTAGTCCCAGTTACACTCAACTAAGTTAATACTAATCATGTTTGTGTTCGGTTTGAAAACTGATAATAAAAAGCAAAAAATTTAGGTCAATAATCAATGTTTGTTAGCTCATTAAATATTATTTTATATTAAATATGTATATCTAAAAGATATTTTATATTATTTAACAATCTAAATAAAACGTTTATCCTATTACTTAAATGAATAATAAACGAGTTAAGTTTTACAAGTTGACTTGCACTGAGCCCTCCCGAACTCACAAATATTTCAATTTATTTGCGACTCTATCAATGACAATTGTATCTTCTAGTGTTCCAAGAATATACTTCATGTGGGTGTTCATTTTTGATCACACAAACTAAACAGGGAAACTCAGCAGGAGAGCATCGATAAAATAGATTAAGCCCGAACAACCTATTATAGAAAGATACGAATCCAGTGGTGGTTCGTTCACCCGGGTGCACTCCGACAATCAAGTCAGTAATTATCTTTCAAAGATAGCCAATAGTGATTAACTCACTAGACAGAGCCTAAAAAGCATACTTTAGACCCACGATGGTGCCTTACTTTTATAGCTAGCATTAACCTGATCCGTGTAGAAGTTTAGTTTCAATGAACTTTGGCTCAATGCTCATCCTAGACTCTCAGCTAGATAGAGATAAACTCGTCAACTTTGCCCGACGTTCCCAAAAGGAAGAAGAAAAGCCTTTCTCCACCCTCTGCTACAACTCCATTGACTGCATCCACATCACGAACAGATCAAGGATCAACATCCGATCCAGTTGATCAGCCATCAACTTTGGCTCCATACCTAGTCCCAATATCAGAACGAAAACGTCGGCGACGACTTGTCCTTACTGCCGAGATGGGCCGCCCAAAACTAGTTGCAAAAGACCTCTTAGCCAGCCTCCCTTCTGATGTTGAAACTCAGCCAACACAAACCATGCCACCACCGAAGCCGAAAAGAGTTAAAAAGGCTCAGCCAAAGGCTAAAGTAACTCAGGTTGAGTCTGAGGATACTTTACCTATTTCCAAGCTGGCTGGGAGTGACAAATCTCAACCCTCTACTGGGAAGAGGTGCTCTGAAACCCAGCCATCAGAATCTCAAAAATCAAAAAAGCCGAGGTCATCCTCTGCAACGACCTCGGGGTCCAAAATACCAGACGTCCCTTGGGCACCTGAAATTACTCCAGAAGATAAGCCTGTTATGGCTAGTGATAGCGCCGATGACATCAATGTCGGCGTCGCCCTCAGTATTGCTCTACTTCTTCCAGGCGATCTTGACAGGAACGCCAAGATGAGCGAGTATGAGAACTATGCTTTCATGCTTCAACGTTCTGTTCAAGTAAGTGTTTCTTTCTCCTTTTCATACTTGTAAAATTTTTCAAATAACTTTTGCCTTGTGTTTTTTCAGGCCATTCAGCATGCCCATTCTCTCTCCATGCAAGCCTTTGAAAATAGGAAGAAATTGGTTGACA